GCACCAAGGGTGGTGTGCGATCGATTCATCCACATTCATCCGGCAGTGCCATCTCGCGATCTTCCGAACAAGATTAAAATTCTTTGAGAAATGTTCGGATTAGAACGGTCCTTTTTTTAGTTTATCCTTTTGACCAACTGGTGCGAGCTCCGGTACTCTCTAGCAACAATCGGTTTCTGCTAATCTAGTGTAAGCTTAAAGTTTTAGGTTTAAATTCATGGAAACTATCAAACTTAATATTTGTATCGATAAACCGACAATAAACCTGAAATATCTGTTTCAGGACTTATGCAGCTTCAACACAACCTAAGAAATCAAAAATCACTATTAGGATTGCCCTTTTCTCACTTTCAAACTATTTCTGCCGTACAATTCTATTGGATAACTTCAATACATTCTATTTTAGACTGCCTTTTCCACAACAATAGAAAATAAATCCAGATTATTCATAACTAACTTTAGAAACTTGTAACCATCATCCAAACGTTCCTTTTGTTTCAATAGTTCTCTTTCCAATTGAAAATGTAAACTTGCGTGGAGTGACGTTGCCGAATTCGCCTGCGTCAGCTGTCACTCGTTGGACGGGGGATTTGCTACAGTCGATCCCGAGCGGTTCGAACAGTGTCCTTATATTAATGTTCACTAGTGTATACGATATACACAGTTCATAGAACAATGGTAGGCTTGGTAAGCTTGTTTGTGGTTCACACTCTCAGCAATAATGGTTTGGGTTTTTTACTTATTATTTTGCTCTAATAAACTCATATATTTGGCAGTAATCGTTCGTCGTCGTCGTTAATCAGACTAATGCCTTGTTGTCCTGTGCTGTCCGAAGAACTCGTCTCCACTCTACTCGATCCATGGCCACACTTCGCCAGCCTCGTAGTCTGCAAAGGGTCCGCAGGTCGCCTTCTACTTGGTCGATCTACCTTGCCCGCTGCGCGCCTCTTCTGCTTGTTCCTGTTGGGTCGCTTTCGAGAACCATTTTCACTGGGTCGTCGTGCGGCATTCTTACGACGTGCCCAACCCACCGTAGCCGCCCATTTTTTGCAATGTGGACGATGGATGGTTCTCCCAGCAGCTGGTGCAATTCGTGGTTCATTCGCCTCCTCCACGTTCCGTCATCCATCTGCACTCCACCGTAGATGGTACGCAACACCTTCCGTTTGAAAACACCAAGGGTGCGTTGGTCCTCCACGAGCATAGTCCAGGTCTCGTGGCCGTAGAGGACCACCGGTCTAATCAGCGTCTTGTAGACAGTCAACTTCGTGCGGCGGCGAATTTTATTCGACCGGAGCGTCCGGAGGAGTCCAAAGTAAGCACGATTACCTGCCATAATGCGTCTTTGAATTTCTCTGCTGGTATCATTTTCGACGGTCACCAGTGAGCCCAAATACACGAGCTCGACGACCACCTCGATTTCGTCTCCATCAATCTGAACTCGGGGGAGGGGCTAACATTGTCTTTCCTAGAACCTCTTCCTCATATGTATTTCGTCTTCAATGCGTTGGTGGTAAGTCCAATCTGCCTAGCTTCCGCCTTCAGTCTGATGTACGTTTCCGCCATCGTCTCAATGTTGCGTGTCATGATGTCGATGTCATCGGCGAAGCCAATAAGCTGGATGGACTTCTTGAAGATCGTGACACTCGTGTTTATCCCAGCTCTTCTTATCACACCTTCTAGCGCGATGTTGAACAACAGACACGAAAGTCCATCACCTTGCCATAACCCCCTTCGAGATTCAAAGGGATTCGAGAGTGTTCCCGATACTCGAACAACGCACATCACTCGATCCATCGTCGCCTTGACCAATCGCGTCAGCTTATACGGATATCCGTACTCGTGCATAATCTGCTGACAGATTTTGGGCACGTTGTATTCGCGGCATTTCTGCAGAACCTGCCGAATCGCGAAAATTTGGTCCGTGGTAGCGCGGGCACCTATGAATCCCGCCTGGCAGGCGGTGGCATAGAATTTGGGAGAGTACCTTGTAGGCGGCGCTCAGCAGTGTGATTGCGCGGTAGTTGCACCAATCCAACTTGTCACCCTTTTCTGTAGATTGGGCATACGACACCTTCCATCCACTCCTCCGGTAATATCTCCTCCTCCCAAATCATGGCAATTACTCAGTGCAGTGCTCTAGTCAGTGCTTCACCGCCGTATTTTAATAACTCACTTGGTAGTTGATCTACACCAGTTGCTTTGTTGTTCTTCAGCCGACCGATCTCCTCCTCAACTTCTTGAAGATCAGGGGCCGGTAGCCTGTCGTGTTCTGTGCGTGCTCCAAGGTATGTTGCCGTGCCACCTTCGTTTTCTGCTGCATCACCGTTAAGGTGCTCGTCATAGTACTGCTTTCACCTCTCAATCACCTCTCACTCGTTCGTGAGAAGGTTACCGTCCAAGTCCTTGCACATATCGGCTTGCGGCACGTAGCCTTTGCGCGAACTATTTAGCTTCTCATAGAACTTCCGTGTGTCGTTTACGCGGTACAGATTTTCCATCGTCTCGCGATCTCGGTCTTCCTGCTGACGCTTCTTCCTTCGGAAAACCGAGTTTTATCTGTTCCGCGCTTGTCTGTATCGCTCCACATTCAATCTCGTGCGGTGTTGCAGCATTCTCGCCCGTGCTGCATTCTTCTCCTCTACTAACAGTTTGCATTCGCCGTCAAACCAGTCATTTCTTCGGTCCGGGATTGCAGTACCTAGTGCCGTTGCAGCAGTACTACCTATGGCTGAACGGATGTCCCTCCAGCCATCTTCAAGAGAAGCTGCACCAAGCTGCTTTTCCGTGGATAGCGTAATTTCCAGCAGCTGCGCGTAGTCCTGGGCAACTCCGGCGTCCCGTAGTTGCTCAATGTTGGGTCGCGGCGTTCGACCTCGACGGGTGTTGTGCACCGTCGAGAGTTTTGAGCGCATGCATACTGCAACTAGGTAGCAGTCCGAATCTATGTTCGCACTGCGGTAAGTGGGGACGTTGATAATGTCGTAGAAGAGTTTCCCGTCGATTAGAACGTGATCGATTTGGTTTTCTGTGTGTTGGTCAGGTGATCTCCAGATGGCTTTGTGGATATCCTTGCAGGGGAAAGTAATCGTTCGGTGATCCGTATATCACTACTTGGACAAACTAAAGAGTTAGTCAGAAAAAAATAGTGAAAAAACTAAGCACCACAGAGATGCGTTTTGACGGTTATAGTGACCCGAACTGGATGTAAAACAACATGTAATTCTACAAACATCGATCCGAAACGATTTGCGAGTCTGCGTGGAACTGCTCATATGGTCGGTTTTGGAAATTCAAGATGACCATTTTCATTGGCACCCTAAAATGCAGATATTATTCACTACGTTTGCCCAAAAATTTTACAAACACGTGCCAAGGTCGGCTATTTTATGTAATGCATCGCATTATCCAATGTTACTATCATTATTGTTATGGACATTTCAATTACAAATCATTTGAAGCCGTGGAAAGTTTTCCTTTGACGCGGCAAAAGTTAACCGCCGTCAAAGAGGTGTTAACGAAACTATTGCTTTACTATTACAGTAAAGACGAATGGGCAATTGATTCTTAGAATCAATAGTGCAAAGTGTTTTCTCCAAGAGCCGACATTGCATAAGAAAAACACCTTTGTGTGTTTCGGATGAAAAAATAAAACGTGCTAGACGGATTATCATTCACTCCTTAAGATCACTTTTCGCGGGAAAAGTTGATCAGCCCCGAACAGCTCCTAAATGGCCTTAGACCAACTTACCTTGTGTTTAATACACAGCAAAAAATAATTTTGATATCACGTCAAAGTGGATGCACTACAATCATGTCGAAAATATGGTGTAATATTACTTGCTAAAAAGGACAAAATTATCATTAATACAATGCATGAACTGACATTACGCTGCTTTTACTGCATTTGTTTATTTATGTGGTCATAAAAATTACATGAAATTTTCGACATGATTGTAGTGCATCCACTTTGATGTGATATCAAAATTATTTTTTTGCTGTGTAGTCGATTCTTTGAGCCGCTGAAAGTTTGCGAAATATTCGTAGACAACTCAAACTCGCCAAGAAACGTGTCTTCGTACCTTTTATAGTAAACCGTGTGGGAAGCAGCGCTCTCAATGGCTCCGTAACGTCATCAATCGAACCGTACGCAAATGCCTTAACAGCTGGTTTCGACGCCGACGTCATAGTTTTCTGTTTAGGAATTGAGTGTTGCTGCAGGTTTTGCCGCTGTCGCGAAGCAGGTTTCTGTTTCAGTGAGTAGAAAATTGCGACATACCTTGTGGCGTGGGCGGTTCGATTAGTGAACACTGTCGATGGGTCTTAGATCATGATTTCGATATTTTTATACTGAACTGATCGTGATAGCAAATGACACATGCTTTAATTTGGTTTAATTCTAATTTGCATCAACCACAGCAGTCAACAGCAGTGGCGCTTGGTAGGTCAACTGTGTGAAACATTTCGCAAACACTCTGGATTGCCTCACCACTCACTGACTGGCTGATGGTCAAATACCATTTACAGGAACTTGCCAGCGATTTTGGGTGTCCGGCAAACGACGAACCTCTCGCTGCTACTGAGTGCACAATGGTCTTTGTTTACTGAATGACGACGAATCTGGGTCTGTTGGGCTAGCAGATTAATCAGTCATCAACAGCAGCAGCAGCTGGAAATGAGAATAGGTGTCAACGCGCATCATCACGGTGGGGGAGCGTTGTGGCTGTAAATTTGTCCATATCGGCCAATGTTGTAAAATGTATGAATGAATTTTTCGTTAGCGGTTGATTATTCTTTGCTTAGTGAAATGTGTGAGTGGATCAGTATGTCCCCGGGTAAATTGGTCAGGTTTATTTTTTCTTGTCCTCTGTCTCGTTGCTGTTGGGAGAGGGGACGCGCTGGCACACGGAGGCGATTTATCTGAAATGGGTGGTTTCGACAGAAAAAAGGTTTTTTGCACTGGATTGTTTGTTATTCAAAATTCAGTTTACTCGCGAATCTCGTAATGAGTGGATCGTTCGTTAAAGTGACTGAAATGTTGTTGCGGTGGTTGTGATTATGTGAGAACGAGCATTCAATAAACTCTACATGCAATGGGCGAAACGAAATTGGTTAGTGATATGTTCTGGGTATTTGCCTATGAGTTCTTGTGCGGTTTTTCGGAAAATACCTGTCAAGTTATCACAAGTGTGCTGAAAAAATATAATATTTCCGAACAAGTAAAGTTTGCCAGGCAAATAAGTAATAAACCTTTATCTGAACCTGCGCAATGGAATAGTAGTGGATATTTTTTTAAGTCAATCGCTTTCAAACAGAATGGATCTCAATGCCAAAAGTTGAAATTTGTATGTGCTGAAAAAAGCTCAATTATATCTACTAAAATTTTTTTCACTGTTTGCACTGACATATTGAAGCTTTTAAAACGTCGACTATTTTGCTGATTATACACTGGTGGAAATTAATATATGGACACAGTAATAGTACAAAACAGAAAAATATCCGAAAAAAAAACATTTGTTTGGGTTGACCTACACGCGAGACAAATTTCTCTTACATTCAATGTAAGGTTAGATTCATTACAACCTCTGCATATGTTGCATAGAATAAATTTAATAGAAACATTCTACCAGCATGTATGCACCTATTTCCCTGTTCTTATGACAGATAATATATACTAGAACTGATAAAATTTAACATTTACCCCTAAATATGATTGCAGATTTGGAAAGTGTGATAAATTTTCTACAATAATTGATTAAAAATTTCTTATTTGAGTGGTTCAGAACGATTTCGAACGCACTAATCCACTACAACCATTCAACTTCCCAAGTAACAATTCTGCAATCATTTGGCATCCACTCTGATTAATAATGGTTTTATAATGGCAATGAATAATCCATTTAATTTAAATACAGCATTTCACATTATAAAACGTTCCTGCTTAATAGTTCACCTTTTTACCGGTTTAAAAAACTTTTACAGTCTGGCGAGAAGTCAAAAACTGTCTTGTTTTAAAATTAAATTTAAAGTAGTTCTCAATCCCACCATAACACTGTTCTATAAATCAATCATAAACTTCATTAGCAATTTTTGATTAATGTCTTGATAAAATACTCTATAAACCTGTTCTATCATTATCAAAGCAATCATAAAACTATTAGGTTTAAAATGAGAGTAAAAGGCATATATTGTTGCCTTTTAGGCTTTTAAAAGTGTATCATAAAATCTCCTCTGTTTACAAATTTAACTTTAAGGATGGATCCTCATAGTGAATAAAAACCAAATTTATGACAAGGATATCTCGAAAGATAAACGAAGTTGGAGGAAAAATTCAAGCGATGCTTACGACCGAAGGGACGTCGATTTCAGTAAAAATTAGTTCTTCAGAAAAACCAGCACGTCTGAAAACAGACCAGCCTTCCCCAGACCTTGCGAATAGATGAAGATTGGAATAACTTGCGTCAGTACCGACAGCAAACCACTGAAACTATCAGTTAGCGGACACTAGTTTGTTTCCGATCCATAGCTGCAATTTTATTCGGTGAAAGGGTCATGACTTGGAAAAAAAAATCATTCATCCGTAAATTCCTGTATCGTTTGATGGTGCACTTCCAGAACCATCCGGAAGAAGGCGATCTTTTCGGGAATGATCGAGGTTACAGCTGTGCGAAATGCGAAATGTTGTGAACACTTTCTGAGTAACAGCTTCCAAGCCATCGGGAGAGAATCGCCTGGAAGAACGCTGAATCGCACAGCGCAACTATCAAAATTTAAACAAACTTTGACGTTTAACATTTTGTAATGCCGCCATAAATGCTGCCATAGATCTGAACGGGTAAGGATCAAGCAAAATGGCTTAAGATAAATACAATTCAGCCTACAAGTTTTTTTTATAAAAGCCATTTCAAAACCTTATGAATTTTTTAAGGATTTTTTGAAAGCAATATAACCTTTTCACAAATGGCCCATGAAAAACAACTTTTATGCATCGGCCATATTACAATTATTTTGTTTGTTTTTTTACAATCTTCGATTTTCAATCTATATTTCCTTTTTTTTTTTTTTTTTATAATGCGTTTATTTTTCCAGGCTCATTTGCCGTAGCTTTGCGGAGCCGATATTCATCGTTTGGGTACAAAATTACTTAAAACTAACGTTAGTAAAGCGGGGGCCGATTACTCGCGGCTTTCTCGAGGTTAGGGGTAACAAATTGTAACAAACGGGTGGCAGGGTAGGGATTGAGAACACAAGGTTTTTTAGAGCAATGTGCTCTTGATCTAGAACTAAGCGACATACTGGAGAAAAAGACAAACATGGGGGTACACCGATGGAGACCTAGCAACTTGAGAGAACACAAGATGACACTAACTACTAAATCCTCAGATCGATCCGTTTTAAAAACACATAAATTAAATTAAAATAATCGAGATCTCGGCTCGCCAAGATGTCTCTAACGGGCCGCATAGGTTGTTTTCCTCGGGCCCTGAGGGATGCGGATAACTCGGATCTAGCAACACAATGTAGGGTGCATGACCAAAGTACGTGGTCGATATCGTGATAGCCACTACCACATGCGCACAAATTGCTGCCTGCGAGCCCGATTCGGAAGAAATGCGAGTCTAACGAGTAGTGATTGGACATGAGCCTTGACATGACACGTATAAAGTCACGGCTCATGTCCAATCCTTTGAACCATGGCTTGTTCGACACCTGTGGGAGAATAGAATGTAACCATCTTCCCAGATCACTCTCATTCCATTTTTGTTGCCAGTTGGTGAGGACGTGCTGACGGGTAATTGAAAAAAATTCCGCAAAGGCGATTTGTCGATCAAAAATATCGCCTTCCATAGCGCCCACCTTAGCTAGCAAGTCCGCTTTCTCATTACCCGGAATTGAGCAATGAGATGGGACCCAAACTAAGGTGATAGTATAGGAGCAGTTAGATAAAGTACTCAATTTAGCTCGGATTTCGGTCAGGAAATACGAGGAGTGTTTCATCGGCCTCATTGATCGAATAGCCTCCAACGAGCTAAGGCTATCAGTAAAAATAAAATAGTGATCAGATGGTAGTGAGGCAATTTGCTCTACTGCGTAAAATATGGCTGCTAGTTCCGCAACGTATACGGAACAGGGTTTTTGCAGTTGATATGAGGCGCTATGAAATTCGTTGAATACTCCAAATCCAGTGGAAGCGTTTATAGTTGACCCATCTGTGAAAAAACTCTTATTGTTACTAACATGGTGGTACTTGTTTGCAAAAATTAAGGGAACAACCATCGACCGATGGTGATCTGGTATTCCACGGATTTCTTGCAACATGGTCAGATCAAAATTTACAGAGGAACTATAAAAGTCTTGGAGGCAAACACGAGAGGAATTGAATGAAGAAGGGCCAATCTCCAGCGTCATGTACTCGTAATAGAGACTCATGAATCTTGTTTGAGGATTTCTGTCGAGCAGCTTCTCAAAATTTTCTATTACCAATGGGTTCATTACTTCACAACGGATAAGAAACCGGAAGGACAGTTCCGCGAAACGATCTGTCAGTGGGAGAACACCCGCGAGTACTTCGAGGCTCATCGTATGCGTCGAGTGCATACAGCCAAGCGCGATTCGGAGGCAACGGTATTGAACCCGTTGCAGCTTCAGGATATGTGTTTTCGCCGCGGATTGAAAACAGAAGCTACCGTACTCTAGAACCGACAAGATGGTTGTTCGATACAACCTGATCAGATCTTCCGGGTGTGCTCCCCACCAAGTTCCGGTAATTGTACGAAGAAAATTGATTCTTTGTTGGCATTTTTGTTTCACATACGCAATATGTTTTCCCCACGTGCTTTTGGAATCGAACCAGACACCTAAATACTTGAAAGATATACTTTGAGTGATTGTTCTACCCTTTAGTTGAAGCTGTAACTGTGCAGGATGATGCTTCCTAGAAAAAACAACCAACTCAGTTTTCTCCGGAGAGAATTCGATACCCAGCTTCATAGCCCAAGTAGACAAATTGTCTAAGGTATCTTGCAATGGTCCTTGCAGGTCCGGTGCACTTGGCCCTATAACGGACACAACCCCGTCATCTGCAAGCTGCCTAAGCGAGCAATTTTCATCAAGACAACCATCAATGTCTTTTACATAAAAATTATAAAGAAGGGGGCTTAAACATGAGCCCTGGGGGAGACCCATGTAACTAATTCGTGAAGTTGTCGAGTTTCCATGAGAAAAGCTCATATATTTCTCAGACAACAAGTTGCTCAAATAGTTGTTCATAATTGGTGAAAGCCCACTATCGTGGAGTTTATCCGAAAGGACATCGATACAAACAGAATCAAAAGCCCCCTTAATGTCCAAGAAAACTGAACCCATTTGCTGTTTTTGCGCATAGGCCAGTTGAATTTCAGTTGAAAGCAACGCAAGACAGTCGCTCGTTCCTTTGCCTCTCCGAAATCCAAATTGCGTATCTGAAAGTAAACCATTCGACTCGACCCATTTGTCTAGACGAAAAAGAATCATTTTCTCCAACAATTTCCGTATACAGGACAGCATCGCGATGGGACGGTACGAGTTATAATCCGACGCGGGTTTACCGGGTTTTCGAATGGCGATAACTCTTACTTCCCTCCAATCATCCGGAACAATGTTGTGCTCCAAAAATTGATTGAATAAGTTCAACAAGCGTCTCTTCGTGACGTCTGGGAGATTTTTGAGCAAGTTGAACTTGATTCTATCCATTCCTGGAGCTGAGTTGTTACATGAAAGGAGAGCAAGTGAGAATTCCACCATCGAAAACGGGGAATCTACTTCGTTATTACCCGACGGACGATCACGAACGTTGGTTTGAACCGGTACCGAATCCGGGCAAACTTTCCGCGCGAAGCTGAAAATCCATCTGTCCGAGTACTCCTTGTCTTCATTAATCGGTGATGACGCGTTTCGCATTCTCCTGCCGACATTCCAGAGTGTTCTCATGGAAGTCTCTCGCGACAAACCATCGACGAACCGACGCCAGTATCCGCGTTTTTTTGCTTTAATTAAGTCCTTAAAGATTTTCTCAAGGTCGGTGTACCGCTCGAAATCCCCGACCTTACCGTGTTTGCGGAAGCGTTTAAAC